CAATAGACAGGGTTCTGAGAGTTTCTGGATTGGTGAACACATTCCTGTCCTAAGAGCGCAGTATTAAAGAGACTGAAAAACTATCAGAACCACAGTCAGGTAAGGCAGGAATGTTGGGATTATCAGAGCAGAATTTTAAAAAACTGATTTTCTGTCTGGAAGATTTGTCCATTGATGTCATATATTTGTCATTCTCTGGCTTATGTCACTTAGCATAATGCTCTCAAGGTACATGCATATTGTTGCAAATGGCAAGATTTTCTTCCTTTTAAAGGATGAATAATACTTCATTGTATTTGTATACCGCAATTTATTTATTTGTTTGTTTTGGGGGGGAGGTAATTAGGTTTTATCTTTTTTGTTGTTGTTGTTGGAGGCACTGGGGATTGAATCCAGGACCCTGTGTATGCTAAGCACGTACTCTACCACTCGAACTATACCCTTCCCCCCATACTGCAACTTATTTATCCATCCATCCTTCGGTGGACACTTAGGTTGTTTCCATCCATATCTTGGCTATGGTAAATAATGCTGCAGTGAACATGGGGGTGTGTGTATCTTTTCAAGTCAGTGTTTTTGTTTTTGGGTAAATACCCAGGAGTGGAATTGCTGGATCATATTGTAGTTCTATTTTTAATTTTTTGAGGAACCTCCATATTGTTTTCCATAGTGGCTGCACCAATTTACATTCCTACTAACAGTGCATAAGGGTTGTCTTTTCTCCACATCCTCACCCACTCTTGTTATTTGGTCCTCATTTTTCTTGGGTTGGGTGAGGTAATTAGGTTATTTATTTTAATGGCAGTACTGGGGATTGAACCCAGGACATTGTACATGCTATGTATGTGCTCTGCCACTGAGCTATACCCTCCCCAAACCCTGGCCTCATGATTAATGAGAATGCCTCTGATAAATGTTTTTTGTTAAGCATAACTGTTAGCTTGATGTGGTTTTAAAATAATAAATGAAATATTCTATTCCTAGTGTTATTAGTTTAAAATCAGGAGTGGAAATGCTATTCTAACAAATTCTTTTTAAATGTCTATTGAAATGATGCTACATTTTTCTTTGGGAAATTTATTTATTAAAAAAATTTCTTGAGAGGGGAGGTAATTAGGTTTATTTATTTATTTTTAAAAATATTTTCCTACCTTAAACCATCCTTGCTTTCCTTAGAATAAACCTTAATTATGATGTAGTATTATTTTACTAGTCTGAATTTGATTTGCTAGGGTTTTATTTAGGATTGTTGCATCTATATGCTTGTGGTATAGGCCTATAGGAGTTTTTTTGTTGTTGGTTGTTTTTTGAGGTGGAGATGTGTGGTATCTCAGAATTTGGTATCAGGATTCTACTAACTTTTTAATGGTGACTTGGAAATTTGCTATCTTTTATTATATGTTAGAACAGTTTACTGTGTGAATTGTGCCCTTTGAAGATTTTTTTAAAAACCCAAAATAAAACTTAATCATAAAAATAATCTAGTCTTATGCCTCTTTGGGAGAAATATCATGACAACTACTTCACTTTCATTTTATGGTTATTGGTCTATTCAAATTTTGTCTTGGTTTAGTTTTCATAATTTACATTTTCCTAGAAAATCAATTACAATTTAAAATTTTGTTTGGTGTAAACAATCACTTGTAATTTAAAAACTTTTCTGTTTTGGGGTATAAACTTTCTCATAACAAATGTTGGGTATTGTTTTCTATTTTATCTGTGAATTTTTGCTTCCTCATTTCACTCTTGATATGTCTGTCCTATAAGTTTTTCTACTGTTCTGAACCAGCTCTTATATTTATAAATGTCCTTCTAATTGACTAATTCCTATTTTCTAATTGTTTCTGCTATTTTTGTTAATTCTCTCATCCTAATTTCCTTGACATTTGTTTGAAATATCTTGAATCTAATGCTTAGTTTGTTTTCTTATTCATTCATAATAAAGTCTATGAATTTGCTTAAGATGGATAGTTGCACCTCACAAAATATCACTCTATCATTTCTTTAGAGTAGTCTGCAATCATAACTTTTTTTCCTTTGGCTATTTATTTTGATGTTTAAAAACTTCAAGTGGTACTTTTGAGCATATACCTAGGAGTGTAAACAGTGGGTCAGATGGTTTAACTTTTTGAAGAACTACCAAACTATTTTCTACAATATTTGCACCATTTTACATCTCCACCTTGATGTAAAACTCTACCAATATACGAGTTGCCATTTTTACACTTCCTGGTCAGTATTTGTTAATGTCCATTTTTTTGATGGTAGCTATCCTAGTGGATGTGAAGTCTTATTGTGAGTTTGATTAGCATTTCTTTAATGACTCATGACTTGAGCAGATTTTCATGTATTGTTGCTCATTTGTACATATTTGGATGTTTTTCAGACTATTATTTTTCATGGGAGAACAAGAACCTAGATCAGTAAGAATTCCCTTGAACCCTGTCTTCCTGCCTTCCTGCCTTCCTGTTCAGCATTCTTCCCTGCAGATGTCAGACTGGATAATGTGTGGACATTTCCAGTTAGGCTTAGACAAATCTTTTATTTCAACGTTAGTTAAAACATAAAAGGATCCAGTGGAATATGACTGAAGTGCTACCCCTACACATCAGTGAGCCTGATTCAACTCAACATTCACGGACGCCTATCATATTTAAAGCGCTCTGCTAGGAACTGGGAGAGATAATGAGATCAACATCCCCTTAAAATATGAAATAATTTCCTTATTCCTGTTCTTACAATCTAGTTTTCAGAACATTCGCATAAGGCAAAAATTGCTACTAGGAAAAGAACAAAAACAGAGTTGCATTTAAGAACAAACCACATAACGTATACCATGGTTTCATTAGTTTCACAAGCTCTCAGCTTTTTATGATTGTAGTATTGCCATTCCACCCGTCAGTGTAACTTCATGGACTCAACTCTTTGGGAACATAGGTTTTCATTGTAGAGTTCCCTCAGTATTTAAGGATGGAATGGTACTTAATCATGTAGATCATATGTTCGCCCAACACAGGAAAACTGTCAATATTATGTTGCAAAGAAGACAAAATGCTAGAAGCATAATCATAATGCTTAAACCTTGTCTACTTTGGACAAAGTAACACCAATGTTTGCACTGTAAGTTAGGGATTTTATAAAAACCCATTTGAATTACAGCTTTGATGAAGCTACTTTCTTTAATTTGGTTTTGTGACATGCCATGCTAATGGCATGATTACTGGCTACATGAGAAAGCTACTCTAATTCCTTTAATTATATACCTTCCTCCTGACCTGGCATGGCCATCCATCTTTATTCAGTAGGTTTGGATCAAAAACATTTGACTATTGCAAAACATTTAAAGAAAAGCATCTCTCACCACTGAGGCTATTCAAAACAACATTTATTATAAGGTCTAAAGTCAGAATGTTCCAGAAACATTTTTGAGCAACAACAGCCCTACTAAGTGAGGATGATGTTCGTTTGGATAGAAATGTTATATATTTTTAAAGCATTTATTATTTTATTTTATAAACACACCTCATGCATTAACTCCCTACCTCAGTTCCACTGTTTCAATAGTCTGTATATTGTTGATTTCAATATGCTAACAAATGTGACTTCCTTTTCTGGATGTAGCATTCATAGGTTATTTCTAGAATCTAAGCACCGTGTTTGTTCTAATTTGAACTACAATCCGGATCTAGAATTTCACTGAAAATTGGCTTGTGACCTTGGACTACCATAACTTTTGTCTTGGATCCTCATTAAAAGAAAAAACAAATATCAAAAAGGAACACATTTGCTGATTCAAATAGTGGCTATAAGAAACTAAGGAAACATGCATTTTCAAAGACAGCTGAATGAAATTATGGGAAGACAAAAATTATCTTTGATGGCCTGAAGAAAAATTACTTTCCATTTCAAAATTATACTTGGCAGACTCTTGGAAGTTTTCTAGAGCAGAGATGACACTATACAGACTCCAAAGGAAAATATATTTGATAAGTCTGCATCAAAATTTAATGTGCCTATAGTTAAAATCCTACTGATGTATTAAAAAAAAAAAAAACCCTAACAGTAGATCTGGGCCAGCTGGTATGCACAGGCAGAATCAGTCACAGGCTTTACTTCATAATGTAAAGAAGGCTCAGATTAAAAGATTTTAGACAATTCTAGTTGAATAAAAAGTCATTAATGAAATATGAATTTTTCTTATCATAAGCTGTCATCGTATACATGTGCCTCTAAATAATGAAGCAACAGATCCTATTGCAAATAAAGGTCTTAGCATATAAATATATTATCTAGATAAATGTAAAACATTTTTACGTTAAAAATGACTGTAAGCATCCAATACTATAGAGGGTGAAATAGCTGTCTCTGATGCACCTGTGTCCTAAATGAGAGTAATAACATAAACACAAAATTTACAGAACAATTTGGTGAATAAGACTATAATTTCTATCGCAAAGCAACTTTAAAGTTTTCCCAATTTAAAAAACGTGTGTGCGCGTGTGCGCGCGTGTAGGAGATCAACTAAAGGAACGTGAAGGAAAGAAAAGGAATATTCCACAAGGCATTAAAAAAGTCTTCTGTTTTCAGCTAAAAATACATGGAGTAAATAAAGAAATTACATCTGTATCTAATTCAGGATAAATGACTAAATTAGAGCATAAATGAAAACTGAGTTTTGGATTGACCTGGCATTGCATATACTGGTTTGAAAACAGCACATAAATTTCCCTTTGTATCATAAAAGTAATGATGATCAGAGCTAAAACTGAATTTCCCTTATATAGCAGGCAACAGAAAACAATTAGGATTCTAAATTAATCTAGTTAATGTATTTAGTACTGGTGTGTAGTATTTAATGCCTAATCAAAAGCAGCAAAAGCTGAAATTTGTAGACTTATTTAAAAGATGCAGCAAGAAAACCGTTTTCTCTCATTTATAATTTTTCTCATCTGATCATCTGTAATGTTACAATCTTGGATTTAAGCAACATCACAACCTCATTTTTTTTTTAAAGTAAGCAAACACAACCTTATTTGTTCATTAAAAACTGTCAATATCACCCCATAGATGAGCAGTCTCCTAAATTTTCCAGAAGTGAGATTAAGACCCAGTCCCTTGCTAGAGATCACATGGCTCACTAGCACAAGAGCTTAGACATTTTAACTCGGCTTGGTGCTCTAGTATACCAAAATACTTCTAGGCTAATAAATATTTGCTTAAACCAACAAACCATTAGGTACAATATTTAAGAGTTTAGCCTAATAGGAATATAAAATCTTGGCGCAAATATGACTAGCCTGGAATTAAACCCAATTTGTACATTACAAATAAAACATCGTATGTAAAATCAGCGGCATCTATTGATTTCCAGATCTTTAGTGTTTTAACAAACTTAGATAAAACTAAATGAAAGCTCAACTTTAAATTGCTAAGTCTAAATACATCCAAGCTTTGTTAATTTGTATGAAATTTTTTCTATATAGATAGGAATTACTAGGGTTAAACACTCTTCAACCTTTAATGTCAATTTTATATTGTTTCTCAGAGTATTTGCACTATTTTGAAAGAATAGATAAATTTAGTAAAACACCTCACAGCTAAGATGACAGCTCCATACAAAGCAAGATGTCTCTAAATTTATTTCTCTTTGATCGTCAGCTGAATTTACTGCTTAAATTGTATTTCTCATTATAACAAAGGCTCTTCAAAAGGAGACTGTTACCTGTCAATAATTGCATGAAGGATAAGCAATCTAAAAAGCCTAAAATAATCTAGACAATACAAAAGTGAAGTATTAACTAAATAAAACAAAGGATTTTGTGGTAATATTTTCTGTGCTTAAATAAAATACTTGAGATTTGCACATAATTAAAAAAAAACTAATCACCAAGTGTCAGAAAACTGGGAAGGTTTTCAATACTATATGGAATCATCTCTTAAATTTAACCAAATAAAAAATTTCTGCTATTCAATCATATGGCAAGATGTCCTGAAGTTTCATATATCCTCAGAAAAAGAGAAAAAGCAAGGCTAAAAAGATCAAACACCAAGTGTTCATCAAACCTTTCAGTCATTAGTCTTTATTAACATGCAGGTATCATGTGCCACAAGATACACAGGTTTTCCTAATCTTTCAGCTCTATTTCAGTATTTTTAACTTAAGGTTACTTCTGGATCTAACATATAAAGTAACCTACTAAAATGGGTCAAAGTTAAATTTTATTCTAGCTATCACCTTGACCTTTAAGATCAACATTTAGGTTTATAACTGGCATTATTTGTCACCAAGTAGCAGAAGGTAATTCTTGTACTTGATAATCTTCTATACTAAAATATGTACCAGTATGTCTTAATAAGTTACTAAAATATATGCAATTAACATTTATATTTAATTGCTTTCAATAAGCTGGAAAGCACAATATAAGGTCTTCCAAGAGGAAAAATTACTTTTATAGATCTTGGTTGTTTATGGTTTTTGCAGGTTCCAGAAAAACTGGTCCATGTTAACCAGTCTTGAACTAAGCTGAAGACTTGAATTTATAGGCCCTATAATTACGCTTTGTTTTACTACTGATAGGACAACAATAAACCCAACTCTAGTGCTGCTTTTCCCATGCCTAAGCAGACATGCTCTGGCATAGCTCTCCAAAAATTTTTTGACTTAGTATAAAAGCTGAATGACTTTTTATAAGCTTGATTTCAGCAGAAGACCCAGATAATGGATATCGTATTTATTGGAACATACTTTAATTAATAGAAGATAATTAATATACTATATCAAAGTGCATTATAAGATTTGCACTGCATCTCTCCACGATTTTCATATTTTATAACATTTCAGTTCGATGGAGGAAGACTGGAATAGTTCAGAAAAGTCTTGCTCTTAGGATCTAGATAAAGTTCAGAGTGATTCTTTTAACATATTTAAATAACCAGAAGTGTAATCACAACAAGGGGACCATGTGAGAAGAATGAATATTGCAGAGGAAACTTCATAGTCAATGAAGTACAGGACTTTGGATTGGCTAAAATGCACAATGCACATGAAACCAAAGTCATGTAGTTTACGTGTTGACCATGTGGCTACAGTTCAAAAAGTCACTGCTCCAAAAGCTATACCTAGTAATTTTCCAAAATTGCTTTTAAATAAAGTTCTTAAATTGTAGCAATAAACAAAAAGACAAGATACACTTAAACAACACTGCAGTTTATCAAAAGACACATAAGAAATTTCAACTCTTATGTCTTTGACAGTTATAAAAATCAGTATTTTGGCTAAGTTATAAACATGTTTATAATGCAATTATTTGCATAACTCTAGTAATGCTAACGATGGCTATAAGATCAGAATAGGTTTTTAAAAAAAAATTACAAACATAAAAATACGTAGCCCCATTAATTACCTGTAGAACGTGTTCAAATTATGCCTAAATTTCCGCATTTACTATATCACCACTGCTCTAATATTAAAATTCACATCCAAAGGATAAGGCGAAACCACCTACGAATTGGCATATTTGTTTATTTCTCAATTTGTGAAAATGTCCTTAATTTGTTGATGTAGCAAACAAATTTCAACTCTGATTGCTATGCAAAAGAACAGAAGATAATCTGCTTTGCAATGAACTTTAAAGTTCAATTGCACACAGGCAACATGCTATATATGAAAAAATTACTAACTGAACTATAGGTATTAAATACTGAAAAAGTTAACAGTTTATTATAATTTATTTTATTTAACAATCTAGGAAGTTTGCAGCCATCAGCAGTTCCAGTGCAATTTCAGGTGCAATTGGGAATTCAGGAATTTCCGTGGAGCTGTTAGTATACCGAACCTTGTAGGTAAAATACATGCATACTTTTGATAGCACATGTGAAGGGATCTCTCTAAAATTGACTTCATTAGTTTCATTCTCAGCAAACTGACCTGTAAAAGAAAAGGAATATGTTTGCTATGGGCTGAACTGTGTTCCTCCAAAATTCATATGTTTAAGTCCTCACCCCCAGTACTTCAGAATGTGACTATGTTTGGAAATAGGTAATTAAGGCAAAGCAGGGTTATGATAGTGGGCCTCAATCCAGTATGACTGGCATCCTTATAAGGACAGGCAGTTAGGTTGTGGACACACAGAGGTAAGACAATGTGAAGACGCAGGGAAAAGACAGTCATCTCCAAGGCAAGCAGAGAGGCCTCAGAAGCAGCCAACCCTGACAACACCTTGATCTCACACTTCCACCTTCCAGAGTTGTAAGAAAATAAATTTCTGTTGTTTAAATCATCTAGTCAATGGTACTTTTTATGGCAGCCCTAGCAAACCAATAAAATGTGAAAAGGGAAAAAATCCAACTAGCATCAAACGATGTATCTAGCTCTGATTTCAGAGTAGAAACATAAAGAAATCTCATCGGCTACTTCCCTTTGTTTAATAAGTTCATAAACTGTTTTTAGTGATCTCCCAAAATTTCTTTAGCTATGTAAAGGTTATATAATTTAGCCCTTACCATAGGGAGAAGGTATTTTCTTGGCACTGTGTACTGAATATAAAAAGCAGGAAAATATACTTTCTGAGAATGTAGCATTTTAAAAGTTTTCTAGTAATTGTCCATTGGTTGACAATGAGTAGTTGCTAGCACCTAGAGTGGGGTCTTTCAGTACGACTTTTCACTAAAAACAAAAACAGGGCTCTTTAGAAAAATGGTTGTTGCCAGTATTGAGGAATAATGTACAATATGAACCTGAGAAATTTTGTTATTCAGAAAATACAGCTATCCAAGACTCAGAGCCATGTCAGAAGGACACAGGAGCCAACCTGATGTGCTCCCTCTGGCATCAAAATGGAGCAAATCTGAGCATCAGTAAGAATGACTGCACTGGACTGAAAAATCGTATCTAAAAAGTATAAATGCAAAAACACAAATAAAACACTCCTTACGACTGGAGGATGCTGGAGAACCAATTCATAACTCTGAAAAATTGTATGTGAAGGGAAAATAATCAAGCATTTATCTTTTTTTTCCTGTACAGACTGTATTTCAGGGAAACCCGAAAGTTCTTTAAAGGAGAATTCGAACTAATAAATGTAGAAGAAATTACAGAACTAGAAAACCCCTGTTTTGTAATTCCAACGGAAGTAAATTTCAGCAATTACTACAGTGAATGCTAAAACTATTATGTGAAAGTCTGACTAGGGAATTGCTCATGGACAAATCAGCTTAACCCGGAAACCCACCAATCAATCTTGATTGACATTGCTAAAATATGTGATACGATAGAAATATACTAGTACCGCCTACAAAGTATTCTTGTTAGAAAAATGAACTGGATTCTAATCAAGCCTCTAGGGTTCTAATTATGAGTGTAAAAGATGAAACATGACTTAGTCTAATCTGGATGTGGACAGTACACAAACAACTTTGTTTCTAGTAAAACTGATGGTCTGAAGAAAAGGGAAGTCACAGAGGACTATCATAGATGTTGCGAGTGAAATGACTTAATGTCAGGAATTTGCTTGAAATATTTCTTTAAAAAGGTGAGTGTAATAGACAAAACAAGATAAGCAAAATGTTGATAACAACTGAAGTTGGTCGATGGGTACATGGAGGTGTGTCATGCTCTTCTTGCCACTTCTGTGTATGTTCTAAAATCTCCGTATTAAAAAAAAAATAGAAAAGGAATTGCAAAGGATCCCAAATAGCCAAAACAATTTTGAAAAGGAGAAACAAACACAGGGGCCTTACACTTCCCAATTTCAAAACTTACTTCAAAGCTACAGTAATCAAAATAGTGCCATACTGGCTTAAGGACAGATATATAGATCAATGGAAGAGAACAGAGATAAACCTGCACGTATATGGTCAACTGATTATCAACAAGGACGCCAAGACTATTCAATGGAGGAAAGTATGGTCTTTTCAACAATGGTATTAGGATGTCCACATGCACAAGAATGAAGCTGATTCACACTATATACAAAAATTAACTTAAAATCAAAAGCATCAATGTTAAGAACTTAAGCCACAAACTATTAAGAAAACATAGGGGTAAATCTTCATGATATCGAATTTGGCAATGGAATTTCAGATAGTACTCCAAAAATCACAAACAAAGGGAAAACAGATAAACTGGATTTCATCAAAGTAAAAAGCTCTGTGCATCAAAAGACACTATCAAGAAAAAAGACAACCTACAGAATGGAGAAAATAATTCCAACTCATGTCTAGTGTCCAGAATTTACAAAGAACTCATTAACAGCAATAAAAAAGACAAGTCAATTAAAAAATAGGCAACAGAACAGAACAGATACTTCTCAAAAGATGTACAAATGACCAGCAAGCACTTTAAGATATTTTCAACATCATTAGGCATTTGGGAATTGCGAATCAAACGTACAAGGAGACATGTAGCACTTCACACCCACTAAGATGGCTAGAATTAGAAAAATGGAAAATGTGAATGAGTACGTGGAGAAACTGGAATCCTCATACATTGCTGGTAGGAATGTAAAATGGTTCAGCCACTGGGCAAACAGTTCAGCATCCTCCAGAAGTTAAACATAAAATGACTCTATGCTCCAGAAATTCCAATTCTCAAGAAAAAAATTTTTGAGGTAAACTGTTAAGAATAGACATTTGGGAGGCGGTAACATCTATAGATAAACTTTACATGTAACCAGGAGCACAGATCAACAATCAGAGTCCTTCTGTGGCGAAGAAATCGACCTTGGAAACTAATGTAGGGAAATGATCCCTCCGATTACAAAATAGTCAATTTGGTCTAATTGAAACTAGGGTAAATAACTGAAAACAGGAAACAGCAGAAACCACTTTTTTCAATGTAACATAATCATGCAATAAGTAATGTTAGAAAAGTTGCTGTCTCTCTTTCTTCTAATGTTATGAGTCATTTAATTCAATTTAAGAACATATTCATCAGACACTAAAAGTGAAGCTATATTAAGAGAAAATAAAGAAATGTACCTACCTGGGCCACTCAACATGGCTTTTATTGTTCCTGATGTTAGCGCATGTTCTCTTTTTACAATAAATTCATGACCATCCGAAGATATCAATTTGACATACATGGCATCAGGGCCTTCACAGCCACCATAGGTTTTCTCTTCTCCATCTAAAGTAAAGTAGGACAATGATTTTGAATTGCAAACTTTATTAAAAATAAACAGGCTTACCATAGCTAATATTTCAGTAACTCAGACCAGAAACATTTCTGGAGGGTAACAGCCACTAAGATTTTAAAGTTTTTGACTCCTTGTTTTATTATTCTCTAAATATTTTCCAATGTCAGAATAAACTCTACATTCAAGGATATTACTTTAGATGAATATTTACCAGTATTTTTCAATCAAGTATTAACAATTAGTAAACATAGCAGCACATTCAATTATGAAGACTAAAAAAAAATTCAAGTAGTAAGACTTTAATTCTACCATGCGAAATACTCATTTTAAAAACAAGATGCATAGTGTGTTTTTGAAGACAATTGTTATATGCCACGTGAGATGAACTTCTGACAAGCCTCAAATTTTAAGCTAGAGCTTCCTTTATTCAGCATTTTACTCTTGATCCATAAAAACAATGATCAAAACATTTTACTGCCCAGTTTAAATTACTGCATGACTTAAGTAATGAATATAGACAAATACCAGTCTTTAAAAATTCAAAGTAGAGATGAGGAGACATTTTGTAGATGTTACTCTGCTACCAGCTACTCCCACTGCCACTACACTGGCTTCAGCCCCAGGAGCTCGCTCAACATAACTTTTGGGGGAGAGTACGTATTTCTGTATATCCATTTAACATCTTTTCTCATGTATATAACTTTACAATTTTGTATTGACAGGATTTTAATTTTTATGGTTACTGATATTTGAAAGAAAATATCTTAAGGCTTATTCTAAAAACTTAGGAAGCCTTAGAGAGAAGAATAGAGGATGAAGCTGAAGTACTGCTCAGTCACAAGAATCCACTTACAGACTTGCTAATAATTTAGAAGTCTCTAAAACTGAGATTAATATCAAAATCACCTATGTACTACTGCTGCCAAAAATATTTAATCTGAATCTAATCAGTAGGAAATACTCAGACAAATCTAAATTTAAGTGTCATGAAAAACCTCACTCCTAACCCCACCCAAGAATAGAACAGTTTAAAGGAGACAAAAGAGACAAATTAATGCAGTAAGTAATCCTTGATTGGATCCTAGATTTAAAATAATAAACCTCTGTAAAGAACACTATTGAAAAAACTGTGAAATTTTGCATATGGACTAAGGAGACACATGCTAAAGTACTTAGGTATGCAGTGTTACATGTACAACTAAATAAATCGTATAGAAAAAGCATATGTGTTCATGAGTGTATATGTAGGTTTATAAACACATACATATATACATACAGAAAAAGCAAATGTGGCAAAACGTTAATAATTGGTGAAGGGTATAGTGTATTATTCTAGCAATTTTTCATAATAAAAAGCTAGGGGACTCATAACAATGCAAGTAACTTCTAAATTATATGCAATTCAAGCATACAGATTTCTAGCAGTTTTTGCCAACCTCTGAGAACACAAAAATAATTATCAATTATTTAAATTTATAATTCTAGTATTTTCTGCAAGCTAAACCATTTTATATGTCTGTTGGGAAAGTTTCTAATTTCTTAAGGTACAATTATTCACTAGCAATCACAAATTAAACTTGGCACAATAAAGTTACTGATCTGCCTTTCAGAAATATGTAGTGAAACATAAGTTGTTGATTTAGACAACTAACATCAGTCTTCTCTATTTTCTTACATGCATTCAGTGACTTCAAAGGCCTATGTTTGAGAAGAAAAACCAGCTTCACCTAATTGAAGTACAAAATTACTTTTATACAACTTACCCATTATGTTCTTATGAAATTCTACTTTGCGTCCACAGGAACTTTAGCAGTTTCCTAAAAATATAACAAGATTAATGCCAGGATAACAGGTTTTCACCCATTATTATTTAATGTGTCCTTGGTGTTACAAGTGCAAGGACTCTCTCTGCTATGCAGAAGTTTCCCAACAACCATAGTATGGAACAGTCTCACGTTTCTGAACATCTGAGAAAAGACAATGACCTCCAGGACAGTAAACTCCAACTACAGGTCTGTTCCCCATACCCCTCCCCCTGCCCCCTTTTATGGTAACTATTCTGACAACAGTTTAAAAATACAGACATTATTACTTAGGTGCTGAACTGAACTTGAAGGAGATTCTTGGTCTTAATCATCTCTGTATACTGTATCAACTAGACACTAAGGCAAATGAATGACAACATGATAAATCCAAGGACATGAAGTAGCTTTCATGAGAATGAAAAAGATGAAGCCTGCCTTCTTCTTACGTAAGTGTGCACACCTGTAATACATTTTACTGTTCCATTCCTTCTGCAAAGAAGCTACTGAAATTCTGAGATTTAACAATGAAGTGGTAAAAAAATTATAATTTTTGAGAAAGTTTAAATTTTACAAATGAAATGATTGCTAAAGGTGAAGAGCTCATGTTTTCAATAATTTATACTTTAACAGGATTTCAAAGGAAGATTTTATTTATACCAATATTATTTTTATGTTATCAGGAAAACAGCATATCCATTACTAGCAACAATCTAAGGACCTAGTAAGCATAAACATTGCACTAAATGCCTTACATACATTATGTTATTTCAAAACAACACTTCCACAGGGGAATTACTATTCCCATTTTAGAGATGAGTAAACACTAAGAGGCTGCTACTTGCTCAAGACTTCTACAGCTTAAGTGGCAACATGAGAATTTAAACTTAGGTAGGTTTGCTTTGGAGCCCACATTCTCTTCCATTATTCTATACTGCCATGGTAATAAATTCTGGCTCCTGTTAAAACTTCTTTTCCACTACTGCTGAGGGGAGCTGATATAAATCCCTAGATAGTTATCTAAAATTTAAAAATAGTACTATGTCATTTTATGGTAATAATAGTAGGCGATTAAAAAATTTATCAGTCATTCTTACTTTCTTCTGTTCATATTGCTTTGTACTCATTCTTCTAAAAAACAAAAAAGGGAAAAATGCTAGAAAAGCTAAAAGAACAAGAATTTCAAATGCCTACTTTTCTCTGGAAAATCTCCAGAATGAAACATCTAGGATGTTTATTTAACTAGTAGTAGCTAAGCAACCACAAACAGTCACATCTTAGAAGGCCTTTGGGTAGCAACAGTTTTTGTACGGATTTCTTAATATAGTAAATCAATTCTATCATTTATACAAGAGTTACAGGTGGCAGGGGGAGGGAACTCCCCATCACTAACAAAAAAAGAGTAAATCAACATTAATAGTTAAGCGTAAATCCTGACTCCAAGATAGAAGTTAAAAATATTTGAAATATGATTAAATTTGAACTTAACCCACAAATAACCTATACAAATCTAAGTTTGGTGCTACAAAAATCTCAGGGTGAACAGTCGAACATCTACTCCATAACAGAGGTGAGTTCTGGAAATATGAATAAGGTAGGTAAAAGGAAGTGGTTGAATAGTGGGTTGAGAATAGTTCTAAGCAGAAGACATGAACAGAAGTCTGATGTCGTACTTTTAGTGTTATATATAAACATTGTTCTTTTAGTTTTTTTTTTTTTTTTTTGTAACAAATAGTTAGAAATTCTAGGTAGGTCTAGGGCCTACACTGAAATCAGTTTTTAACCTAGTACCATTGAACACCGAAAAGATCTTTGAAGAGCCCACTGCTCTTCTGATTTGAAATGTTACTTTTATCATATACTATATTACTACATGGATTTCTACACTGTATTCTGCTTTATCAATCTGTTTATACCTGACCAGTATCCCCCCTGTTTTAATTACAATAGTGTGATAAACATGTTTTGCTAATAAATGGCTGGGCCAGGCCCATTTTGTTATTACACATTTTGTGTGAGGTCTACTTTTAGGTATTTTACAGTTCCCATTATGAATGGGATCTGTTTTCCTATTATACTTTCTGAAAAGTTATTGTTGGTGTTTTAAAGAAAATCTTTTAAATTCGGTAGGTTGGTCTTATATTCCATCATCTTCACAGAACTCTTACTAGTTCTAATAGTTTTTTCAGTTGACTTGTCTAGATTATCTAAGTAAATGAGAACAAGTCTATTCTTTGTGTCTTTTTGCCTTTTTACAACTGGCTATTTACTTGGAGAAAAAATAAGGTTAGATGTCTAACTGACATCACTTACAAAAATACACTACAGAGGGAGGGTGGTACAGCTCAGTGGTAGAGCGTGTGCTTAGCATGCACAAGGTCCTAGGTTCAATCCCCAGTAACTCCATTAAAATAAATAAACCTAATTACCTCTTCCCCCAAAATAAAAATAAATAAATAAATAAATAAAACCACTACAGATTAAAGACCCAAATGTATATAAATATACATTAAAAAAAAAAACAAACCCCACTGATCTCTGGAAAAATAGCAGAAGAAAAAACACAAATAGCTCATAGACCTGTATAAAAATGCTTAATCCCAATGATAAGGAAAACTAAAACTAAAACATTAAAACTTGCTAAGAATCAAGTTTTGGAGGTGAGGGGAAATAAGTGATACTAAATAAAAATAGTATATACTTACAAAATATTATGGGGTAGTGAAAAGGAAGAAGTTAAATCTATATATGTCATAACATGGAAATGGCACCAAGATAACTTAATTTTTTAAAAAGCAGATTAGAATGATACATAGTTTGATGCCATTTATGTAAAATAAGTGGCTTCTCACCTATTAATCTTGTATTTTCTGCAGAAAAACAAAATGCATAAAAATAACCCCAAACAGCCAAAGCAATCTTGAGAAAGAAGAACAGAGCTGGAAGTACCACACTCCCTGATTTCAAACTATACTATAAGCTACAGTAATCAAAACAATATGCAAAAACAATCACACAAATCAACAGAATAGAGAGCCCAGAAATGAGTCCATACTTACATGGTCAGTTAATCTCTGACAAAAGAGACAGATACACAATGGGAAAAAGACAACCTCCTCAACAAATGATGTTGGGAAAACTGGACTGATACATGCAAAAGAATCAAACTGGACTTTCTTACACTATACACAAAAATAAACTCAAAAATGGATTACATACTTAAATATAAGTCCTAAAATCATAAAACTCCTAGAAGAAAACACAGGCAGTACATTCTTAAATGATGGACTAAAAAAAATAAATATAAAATAAATCCTGACTTTGCTTCATCCCACTGCTAAGAATTCACCCGAATTGGCACCATGCATGCCTCACAGCCGTTTAACCAACTCCCTGCCTGCTCCTCTGATGGAACTACCCACCCAAATCCCACCCCTGGCCAAACCTGATTCTCCACCTAAGCTCAGGCCTCAACCACAGAGCTGAATTGACTGAAGAAAAAGTCGCAACCATTCTGACTGGTCTCATTTTAAATTTATGACCACACACTTTAGACAGGTACTTGGTGTTGTAGTGATCCTCTTACCTAGTAAACTGGCTTTCCTATCTGAGAAAATTTACAGCTTCTCCTAAACCTCCAACACCCCTCTCCTCCCTACCCTGACAACTTGACTTCACCAAGAAAACAGAAACAAATCACATTCACTGTCTTGTCTTTCCAATTTCATCCTACCTGCATCCATACACTAAACTATACTGTCCGCCTTCCTGTGTATTCAAAAGTTGTATAAAAATCATCCTTCCTATCCAAGGCCAACATTCCCACTTAAGCTCAGTGATCCAAGGACTTTGTCCTGCCACTATTCCCAAAACATCAAAATACTGTAACATCATCACTACCATCCTCTTCTCCATAACCCAAACTGATCAGACTTTTGGCCCACTAGTCCATTCAAAGCGCTCCTGTCAAATTTCAACTATTTTACTTGGTCGTTTGGTCAATTTTTAACCCTCATCTTACTCTTAGGGTTTTAAGTTGACTACGCCTTCTTTCCTAATACCCCTAGTATTACAGCTGCCACACCCTCCTGGCTTTTCTGCTTCCATGACAGTTTGTTCCTCTGACCAGAGTGCTCTCCCCTCTTCTCTGTTAATAATCTTGATATCCTCTGGTCCATAGTTTTAAATAACATCTATAAAATATGACTCCAGGATTAGCTCCCTAGCCTGACTTCTCCCCTGAGCAACAGTAGTGAACAGCCTACTTGCCTACTGTAAATACTCTGAGCTGTGTAACATTTATCAAACTCAGCACATCCCACACAGAACTCCTGCTTTGTACCTCAGAAGGGCACCCTCCCCAGTCTTCCTCATTTCAGTAAACGGTACTACTGTTCACCCAGATGCTTGGGCAAAACAGTTGATTCCTCAAAATTTTTTTATCCTGGGGTGAAGGCTAAGACCCATTCATTTGGCTCCGTCTTCAAATTATATTCCAAGTAAGACCACTTCTCACTAACTTCCAACTCTTCACCTCTAGTTCAAGTTATGATATCTCAACTGAACTACTATAAGCCTCTTTAGGGGCTGGTTTCTCCATTTTCCTCCAACTCGTTCAGTTTGCCACTCAGCAACTAGTCATCAAAAACATAAACTTGATGTCACTCCCCTGCACAAAATCCTCTAATGGCTTCTCATTTACAGACAGAATATGGACTAGAAAGTTCCATCTTATTTAGTCCTTGCTAACCACTCTGATCTCATCTCCTGTCACTCTTCCTTCATTATGCTCCAGCCATACTGGCCTTCTAAGTATCGTAATAGGTCAAATTCATTCCTCCCTTAAGGTCAATTTGCAGTTACTGCTATCTTATAAACTTTTCCTTCAGATCTTCATGATTTTGGTCTCCAGGCAAAACATCAACTCCTCAGGGAGGCAGGTGCACCTTGATCACTTCCCTCTTAAAATTAGACACTTCCCTCCTAGTTACTCTAACTTAATCTAACTCTAATTTTGCTGTATTAGCTTCACATTTATCACCACCTGAAACTATCTTTGCTTACTTAATGTATAGCTTCCTTCCTCAAGCTCCACAAAGGTAGGCCTCGTATAGTGCCTGGAATATAAAAGATGCTCAATACATATGTGAGTGAATGGCACTACTGTTTTCTTAATCATCAAGGCTTGAAATTTCAAGTGTCACTAGGTAGGCCTTTTCTGATCATATTTAATAATGAAACAGTAAACATTTAGGACAGGTTAGCTAAAATGCATTAACACATATCACTGTAAATACAAAGATCCAGATTATTTTCTAGTACTGAGAAATCTACCCAAAAAACCCGAAGAAGAGATTAGTAAGATATAACTAAATATTACTATGGAACTGGATATATAGGGTTGACTAACTTCTGACTACAAACTATTGCCTAATTATATTACAGAATTACCATAAGGTAATGAAAGTGCCATCTTCCACTTTGAATACATATATATGTGTGTGTACATATAAATATACATATGTAGGAATGGTAGATAGTTATTAGGTAAATCTCATACTTAAGTGAAAAAAGGACAGTCACTTAAAAATATTCGGGGATCAAAAAGGATATTTGGCGGTTTGAAAAAGAGGTCTTAAAACCAAAGGATTTCGGTTGTTTTCTACAGTGAAGGCGATGCAGAGTAGAAATGCTCGCACTAATAAATAACTCCATAGGTAAACTAAAAAGGTTTTAGTTCCAGAAGAGAAACTTAATGGCCACTGTACTTGACATGAGATACCTCCTTTGAAATGAGACTGGGAGGCAGACGCAGGGCAGCCCCAAACCATTAAGCCGGGCAGGATCACCCAACAAGTTGACCAGGAGGTAAACTTCTTGGAGACCTGCAGCTGGAAAGAGCGAGGGCCCTCTCCTACGACTAGCGGCTCACTCCAAGAAAAGGACGAATCGGAGTGCACCCGGGGAAAGCAAAAAGGAAAAGCGACAAGGCTGCCATGCTTCCTAACTCCACCCTCCCCGCGCTTAGCCCCAAGAAGGCCCAATCTCGCAAGCCGCCGCCCCTCCTTCCACCCTTTTCTAAGCCCACCGAGCGGCGCCAGGAAAGGTCCGGTCACCCTCCTCTCCCCTCCCCCAAACCAGGAGCTGAAGAGGCCGGGAGAGGTGAAGAGCTTCCGTTCCTTCCCCGCCCAAATGGGAAGGGGTGGGAAGTGGGGTTGCGAGCGCGCCCAGTACGAGCCTCCCTCGTCCCCCCCTCCGCGAACCCGGAGCTCCGTTCCCACCCCAGCTCCATTCCCATCCCAGACTCACTCGTCAGCCCCGCAGCCACCGAAGCCACCGCACCGGGTCCCAGGCGCACCGCTACAGCCCCTACACCAGGGCCACCCCCCCACCCCCAGCTGCCTGCCGCCGTGGGTTCCGGGGCAGTGGGAGGGGAATCACTTCCGCTGGGTCACGGACGTTTTCTACGAAGCGCGGGAGATTAGTACCTAGTGAGGCGGAGTCGCAGTGAGTCCGTCGCCTGCCGGCGTCTACAGGAAGTGCGCAGCGCCCCCTCCCCTTTCCCTCAGGCCAGCCTGCGAGGGCGGCGGTCCCTGGCGAGTCTCAACCAATCCTATTCTGAGTCTTCTGATTCCCAGCATGCAGCGCCAACCCTGATCTGATTTCCTCCGGGACAGCATCCTCAAAGAGGTGGTGGTGGGTGGTGGGGGGTAGTTATGAAGCAGCACTGCATCCTGGGGTTTGTAGTTTCTATGGCGGGTACTGGGTACTGTCGTGTTTCGCTGAGGCAGCACTGCATCCTGGGATTTGTAGTTTCTCACCCTGAGCCTTAAGATCCTGGTAATTGGGGAGACTGTCCCTGCCTTTCGTTTTGGGGTACGCTTGGAGGTGGGAGAATATCTGTAGAGGGAAGACTGAAAAGTGGGAGTGCAGTTTCTATGCTAACAGGATCGTGCTGTTTATGAATGCCCTTCTGTCTTTTGTGAAAAGTTGCAGAGCTTGTTGAAGAGCATCTCAGTTGCTCGAGAAATAGGCTGGCCTCATTTCCTCTGTTCCCGGTAACTTTAAGTGTTTACTGAAAACAACCCCCACCCCCCAACCTGGGGCCTTTCCTCCACCTCCCATCCCCCTTCTAGCCACCGGGTTGTTCAGGTGCTGGATTCTGAAATCATTCATAGAAATTCCTGCCACCAGTACTTAATTCTCACACCATCTTTGTCTTTCCACGCCCCCTCTGTCCCCCCTTCCTCTCTCTCCCGCTCCCTCGCCGGCTCTTTCTCTCTCTCCCCACAATCTCCCTATCCTCTTTTCAGATCTTACCTCCACTTAAGATGGGATTATGTCCTGATAAGCCCATCAAAGTTGAAAATATTAAGTAGAAATGCATTTAATAGACTAACCTACTCAACATAGTTTAGCCTTAGCCTACTTAGAACGTGCTCAGAACCCTTAACACTAGACTGCAGTTGGGCAAGAATCAACTAACACGAAGCTTATTTTATAATGCAGTGTAGATTATCTTGTGTAATTTATTGATTACTGCACTGAAAGTGAAAAACATAATGGTCCTTCAGTGTATTGGTTGTTTCCCCTTCTGATTGACTGGCTGAATGGGAGCTTCAACATTGGGAGAGAGTCTCATACTGCATATTGGTAGCCCAGGAAAAGATCAAAATTCAAAATTGTGTAGGGTTTCCATTGAATGTGTATAGCTTTCCCATTATGGTAAAGTCAAAAAATTGTTAAGTCAAGCCATCCTAAGTCGGAACTGCCTTTACTTGCTTTCAAATGCTGAAATTCAGGCACTCTTCCAGGAAGGGTGAAACAGCTAAATAAAGTTCACCCTCTGTTTACCGGGCTGTGGCACGAAAGGAATGTAAGGCCAAGACTCTCACCGCTGCAAGTTGCTCAACTAGGACTGTTGTGTAACAACAGTCCACAAAAGGAAAACAGATACAGGCGATACAAAGTTTGACTTAATTAATGACTTTTGCCTGATAGATATTTTAGTTGATTTGGCATATAAAAGGTATTACTTTTTACAGATTGTCCTGGGTTAATTTTTCAAAGCCTCTGCAAAAAATTTAAACAAAACCTTTTGGTTATAATAGCTCAGAATAAATTTTGGTGGAGAGGAGAGGCAATGGGGTGAAAAGAGGCGGCGGTGGGCTCATTTTCAACTTCCCCCTTTCCTTGTTGCATTATCACCTTCTAAAAGGATCACTATGTTAGTTGCCTAGAGGATGATAGAATTTTCCAGGTGAAGATACCGAGGTTAGCTAATGCCAGATTTAGGGCTAGAATCTAGTTGAGGACTATTATTTTCTTTTGTGCAAATTTTTATTTAAAAATTTTATTTATTTATGTAATCAATATAATACATGCTTATAAAATGCAGAAATTACAGATAACTTTGTTTTTCTATGCACTTTTACATAGATCATACTGTGTATATCGTTCTTTATACTATTTATTTTCCAACTTAACAAACCTCAATAACCCACACCTCTGTAACCAAAATCTCAAGAAGTATCATTTTTAATGTCTGTGTAGAATTACATTGTTCAACTGTACCATGATTCACTTAAGTATTTCCTTAAATCTTGGATATTGACTTTATTACCATTTTAAAATCATTATAAGTAATACTGTGTTCAGTATCTACAGAAATCTTTGACCATGTTTCTGTTTCTTTAGAATATGAACATTTTTAAAGATCTTGTTATCTATTAACAAATTCTTTTCCCAAAAGATTCTCCTAGTATTTGCTCCAAACCAGTAATGTATGAAGAAGATTTAGTGTTCTTATCAAAATAGTACCTCTACCAAAAAATTTCTTTTCTTTTTTTCCATCATGCCATTATGACCTTAAGCTCAACTTAATGGAGGGAAAGGGGACTAGTGGATTGGGAGGGAAGACAACTAAAAAACAAACAAAAATTACATACAGTAATGGTGTCCATATATTCTACAAGTGATACCCAGTTTCATTTTCGCCATCAGCCTCCATCTTTAAAGGGAAATTCCTAGATGATGTGAATGGGGAATCAAGGTTTAATTTATAAACAGCCTTAGTATCATTCTAAAATCCCATTCAAGTAGTTTATATTCAACAAATGTCTCTAAATTACTAGAACTACGAAATCTATTTAACCATGAATAACAATTCCATATAAATCAATAGCACAGAGTTTTCAGAATGAGATCTCATTTTAGCTATTTAGAAACCTTGATAAGTAGACCAAATGTTAATATTTTCATTTGCTTTCAGTTTCCATAGGAAGAAACCAAGCTGAACAGAAGATAAAAATTCAGATTCTCTCAACATATTGTAGAAGTAATCATACAAGGAGGCCATTAGACTGAGATGGCTCTGATGCCTTGGTAAAGCAACCAAACCCTAAGCTGGACTTAATTCCTGTAAACGCCTCCAGGGTAGGAACAACTAACCACAAACAGCCAACTAGATTTTCTCAAATAATGCAACAGCATAAGCTATAACCAATCAAATAATATACTTGTTTTGCATGTGCATCTTCTCTATAAAAACCTTGCCCTAGATCTTGTCAGTGGAGTACTCCTAACCACTCCCAGTTTGGTGCCTGATTCGAATAAATTTTTGCTCAAATGAACTAAAAATTTTTAACATGCCTCACTTTATGTTTTTAAAAATATTAAAGGAAAACAGTTTACATGAACAGAAAAATTTAAATACATATCAGTATATAAGAATGTATAATTTATGTTTGTAATATGAATTATACTAAAACAAGAATTTTTAACAGTGGAAGATAACTTTAAGAAATTGAAGTTATCCATAAAGAAGTAGCATAATTTTATCCTGGATACTCAGAAAAAGACAGGATTTGGAGTTGCGATGGTAATACTATTTTAGACTATTAGTTTGCTCCTCTCCTGTGTAAATAACATTTTGAGTAAAAACATAATTCTGAAATAGTAAACAAAAGTGTGTCTTTACTAGTTGGGTGCTCATCCTTCAGACTCAGCTGAACCTGAAGCCTCTGTACAGTATAAGGCGAAAAAAATTGTTGTTTCTTGGATTTCTGTAACATTTTGTAAGTTGGTATATTTCAGTTATACTACAGCATTATATTTTAGCTTATTTTTAGGTGTTTCCTTCACTATGTAAGCACTGTGGATTTCCAATTTCATTCCTTACCTTTGTATCCGCTGCTTCCAACTTAGTCCTGGCAATAGGTGAGGCGCTCGATACCTCTTTAACGAATAATGAACGAATGCGTATATGAATCAGAATGTCTGAAGACAAATTTGACAACTATCAACATTATATGAATGAATTCCCTTTATGTTCTACCAACCCATTGGTTGGATTAAATTAACCATTCATTTTTGTTCAAACGTAAAATGTATTATTCCTCTGTGCCAATAGGTTAGAATGATTTTCCGCAAAGAAAATAGTTTTTCGGGGCCTAGAAGATGATGCCCAGGAGAATGAAAGATTTAACCCCGGCTTCCAGGCTTTGTGCTTCGCGCATGGCTTCTCCCCTCTGTCCTCCCACACTGTTACAAAGAGCTGCAGACTCAGACGAGAGCAAACGCGCGCGCTGGGCGTCTGCCGATCCCCGCAGCGATGCTCGGGAGGGGCTCAGAGCCTAAGCGGCAAGGAACGCACGCCCCTGGGCAGGTTGCGAGCGGGCTGCACATCTGCGCACGCGCGGGCGGCCTAGGCGGCCCGCCGGCCTTCTGGGGGCGGCGCGTGCGCCGCTCGTCCCGGCCGCGGTCTACTGAGGAGCCTCAGGGTGTCTCGCTACTGCCGCAGTGTGGTCCCTCGTTCCTTATCACGCGCGGGATGCTGCTCCTGGCGTTGGGCGGTCCGTGGGCGGCCGGACTGCGGCTCGCGGGGAAGAAGACGGCGCCGTGGGCGGCCACCGCGCTTCGAGGCCCCAGGGCGGCCCTCTCGTGGGCGGCCTCCTGTAGCGGCTTCTCGGGTCCGATTGGCGGCTGGGGCGCGGGGCTGCGGGGAGTCGCGCCGCTTCTCCCGCGTCCCGTGCGAGTGCAGGTCGGCCGTCCGAGGGCTTGCGGACTGGAGTAAGGGTTGGGGGCGGGAGTGGCATCCGGCCTGGGGAGCCCGTGCTCTCAGGCAGCTCCTCCTGGCCTGCCTGGCGCCTCTAGTGCGGAAGGAGCCTTTTGCGGGGCCCGCAGGGGGAGCAGGCCTCGGCCTTCGGAGCAGGCGGCTGGTCCTGGGGTGCACAGCACCCGAGAGTCCAGCGGTGCCCGCTGGAAAGTGGTTATTTTTTGGGCAGTTTCGGTCACTCTACAAGTGGTTGCAAATCCAGCAGGTTTGTGAGGAGTTGCTGATTTTCTTTTCTATCCTTGAGCGGAAGCTCGGAATGGTTAATTTGCGACGAAATTAGAGGCATCACGTGGAGATTGACTCTGAAAGAACTCAGAGAACCTGATTTTGAATTTGTTATTTTTTTTTTATTAAGTGGCTCTATTTTTAGGAATTACTTTGCTCCCTGGAAAAAGGGGGTGGACATGTTAATCCTTCTCATTTTAAATCTGAATAAATTGTCTTCTAATCCTGCCCCATAAAACATCAGGATTATCAAACGTGGTTGAAATTTGGAAGAAAGGCCAACACAGGAATTGGAATCTAATTA